CAGACACGCTAAGCTCATGAAGTGTCACGCCTGAGTCTGGGGAGCTAATTCCAAAGGTTCTCCGAGTGTTTGCTCAAGAGCTATGAAACATGATTACCTGTTTATAGTTTTACTGCAGGACTGACTAAGCGCAAACTCAAAAATCTGATTTTTTTAACCAGGTCTGTGAACGCACCGTTGCCAAACAGCAATAAAAAAATCCGACTTCTTCCCAGGTTGTGAATTCAGACTAATAGATCTGCCAGGTGGGAGTTTTTACTGCCAGAAATTTTAAGAGACTCTGAATTTTTTGGGAAATAAAAGAAAAAAAAAGTTTTGTTAATTATAATTTTTTTAAGATGCATCAGAGTTAAAGGTCACAAGAGCTGCACAAGAATAAAAAAATCACTCTTACAGATAAATCATCATGTTTTCACGTTGGAGCTCGTGTGGAAAAGTAGGTTAAAATTTAAAGAACGTGTGGAAAATGTTCTAAAATCCCTCATTACGCATAAGAAATGAACATTTTTGTAAAATGTTTGCGTAAATTAGGTTTTGTTGTCCAGGATTTTCATACATAATTTACAGAGCTAAGAACCGGTGCATTTCTGTATAAAATGTGATTTAATGATGATATTTTTATTTCTGTCACTTATATCTTCAACTTGGTGAGTCATGGGTAATTTGGGAACATCAGGGAAAACTGAGCAAATAAAGTCAGTCTCTAATTTACAAATGGTTATTTTAGAGAATGAAAGAAAAAATGACAGTTTATGAAAATTAGAATAATCTGTTGTTTTTATTCGATTGTATTTACTGACAGCCGCAGTAATTGTACAAGATTTCTGTGTCAAATGAACAAAAACGACTGAAAGTGGTGCCAACGTTTGAAAACAGAAACATCCATGGAAATAACTCGGCAGCATTTGAGGCAGGCTGATGGATTTTTATTACTGCTATCGTTTGTTTTGATAAGCCAAGTTTTTGTTGATTGTTTTGGTGATACTGACTGACTGATCCTGGCAACCCTCGCCCATTCTTCCTCGTGATTCATTGCCGCCTTGAAAGAATACCAACTGGAGCTGTCGTTGAGTCATGAGAACCAGTTGGAAACTCGTGCAGGCGGAAAAAAAAAATTCCGCAATCCAACTCGCCCCGCGTTGTGTGAATGCAGCTCGGTTTTCATGTGCTCGAATTTAAAGAAACGAATGCATCGGTGGCACGGGAAAGACAGAATGATCAGCTTTCAGCCACGAGGCAGCCAAGCCACCGGTGGATAAAGTGAGCCCATCTGGAGGGAGAAGAAAGATGAATGAAAATGCTGCACTTTTCCCCTGAAATAACCTGAACACACACACACACACACACACACACCTTCTAGCGCTGCTGCTGCTGCCTTTCGGAGGCCAGGTGCCTCATGTAGATAACCAAATGAAGAATCTGTCGTTGAACACCGCTGAAACAACAGTCCACGTCGGCACACACACACACACACACACACACACACACAAAACGCAGCTGTCCTCATGGTGAGACACAGGGTGCATTTACAGGACCGAGGGCCAGTTGCTTTGCAGAGGTATTTCTTATTGGTCGGAACGTCTCTGGACCTCTCTGAGTGGGGACTTGGGCTCTAAGCCCTCTCTGTGTGTAATGAGATCTCTATCAGAGGGAAACACGATCACAGTCCGAAGGGGGGAGAAAGGGAGAGGGGGGGGGGGGGGGGGGACAGGACACTGGGAGGCAAAGAGAGGGAAGGTGCGCATCGCAAAAAGTGGTAAAAGGGAGCAAGCAGGAGGAGGCCCATGACCCCGCACCCATCTGACTTCTTCCTGTTCGTCATCTTGTCCCCTACGTGTCATCCGGTTCTCGTTCAACAGGTTGCAGTTTCCCTGCAGCAGTGCTTGTTTTTCTATTGTTTTGTTTTAAACCAGCTACTGAAATCCCTGTTACATTAAAAATGTCATCATACTGGATCTCAGACGTGAAAGGTTTAGGGAACAAATTGTTTTCTTTGGAAAAAGCAGCTTTTTTAAATCAAAGATAAAGGAAAACATGCTTTTTTAACTCGTAAAACAAAAAAAAAAAAACTCTCGTAATGATTCTATTTGAAAGAAAGATATTAAAAAACAAACTGACAGTAAGTTGTTCCAGGACATCAAGATCAATAAACATGGTGCCACGTCATCTCTGAACGCCCTTGAAGGACGGCGGTGTTTGTGTTGTTCTGGTCTGGGAGAAGTTTGATGAATATCAGAGAACTAATCAAGTTCAGCTTCCTCTCAAAGCCACTGCTATAACCGAACCCGTGAGGTCGACGGGCCGCTGAAGCAGCAGAAAAACCCACAGCAGCAGTGGACTCGCACGGCTGCTACCAACAGAGTTCTTCTGTTAAAATATGTAACCGTGTTCTTCTGGGAAGCTCAAAAACCAGCAAAAGTCAAAATAAAAGAGGGACTGTTTCCTCGCCACAAAGAGGAGTTCAAACCAGTGTGTGTGTGCGTGCGTGCATGTGTGTGTGTGTGTGTTTCATCATGGTGTTTGTCTCTTGGTCTGCTGCAAACAGGCCGAGGCAGCCACAGGTCATGAGGTAAATATTAGCTGAGGACGGACAGGAGCCGCTTACAGCAACCTGGTCAGGTTATCATTAAACTGGCATCAGCGTTCCCTGAGGACAGCGTGTGTGTGTGTGTGTGGGGGGGGGGGGGAGTGTGTGTGTTTGCTGTATCCAAACCGACGGGACGTGATTAGTCATAACAAAGTGACATTTTCTGGAGTAATCCCACTCAGCTGAATGAGGACTAATCCCATTTGTTTCTGATCACATCTACGCTTCTTTAAGCTGATGCACCAAGACGTCTCCCTTTCAGCCGCACGCTCATCCTGCGTCGTCGAATTAAATATCAAAAAGCTGTGCTTCATCCCGCAGCCCAACAGCTACTCAAGAATGTTTCGTCCTATTATTTTTCTTTCAAGTCAGCGCTGCGTGGCGGTGATGTATGTTGGCTGTTCAAGCACGCTGGGAGGAAATCAATTAAGCAAGCTCCAGTCATTGATAATGCCTGTGCTGGAGTGATTGCATCCTCACACGAACATCCATGCAGGACTTGCACATGCACATTAGGAGCGGTAAGAAAAACAATAATAATAACACACTCCACAGTGGTCCAAGCCTGCTGGTCCCCCACTACTGTGCCTCATAACTCAGCCTGTAGGGAGGTGCATGGTGTTGCTATATTTTCATGTGCATGCAGGGATTCATTTATTAGCATAGAGGCAGCAGAGCTCCCCAAAGCAGGAACAGGAAGTGAGACATCATAAATCTAGATAAGTCAGCAGATAGCATGCTGTACTTTTCTGTAGGTTTCTCTTATTCTTATCACTGTGGAGCAATTTGAGTCCAGAGCAGAGATGGAGATGATGCTGATCCCTGTGCAGCTACACACACACACACACCCTCCTGTGCTGATTGATAGGATTCAGAGGAAAAACAGGTTTGTCTCTTTGTGTTATTGTAAAGTACTCCGAACACAGTGAGATGATTGTCTGTTGTTTTCAAAGCGCAGAGCAGCAGGATAATTAGCTCCAGAGAACAGTTTGCAGAATGCATTATTGTTCCACTGTGAACTTTATGAAACATTCAGCCGGCATGGGTTTTTTACAGGGAGCAGGGAAGGAAAGAGGTGGAGGGGGTGGGGAACAGATGGGGAAATGATTTTCCAATTTTCCCCCAAAACAGGAAAAAAAAACCAGCATGGTAACCTTCTGAGGCATTACCTCCAGGTGAAATCATCAATCAATGAATGCCTCACCTCTTTTCAGTTCTGTTTTAGTGCGTGTGTGTGTGTGTGTGTGTGTGTGCGTGTGTGCGCGCGCGCGTGCGTAAAATATATATATTTGTCTGATGGCACTGAACGTCCCACTACCTCTGCTGCCACAGTCAAATAAAAGCTGATGGGCCGTAGTTTTTGCCATTAGAGCCCCAGCCTCACACACACACACACACACACACACACACACACACACACACACTCCAATGAACATTGCAGCAGTATTCATACTCACTGACTGCACAACGAGCCCCTATGACAGCTGACATTTGGGGATAAATCATGGATTCACTTGAATGACTAAGTTCTAGTTAGAAGCTGGACAGAGCTGCTCTCCAGTCCCCTCTGCTGCATGCTGGGAGCTCAAATGAAGGTCAGCTCATTCCTCATGCACACACAGTCACACACACACTGCTTTTATTTATTTTTTTTATTATTGTTGCTGTTTATTTCTCCCCCTCTCTCATGAATGGCTTTCCAACATCATGCTAATGCAGGAGTAATGTCTAAGTGGGTGATAATTGTTGCCAGAGCATAATCTATTATCAGAAGTCTGGGCACACACTGCTTGTTTTAGTGGAAATAATGTGATTTTTTTCCCCCTTTTTTATTTCTGCGACTTGCATGTGTGAGAAACTTGCCTCAGTTTTAAAAGAGAAGCTTGATACCCAGCCAGAGTCGTTAGAGGAAAGATTTTAGCATTTCTCAGGAGCGAAACCTTTGTGGCGTGCAGACTGGAGACCTGAGAGGCAGTGTGGCCTACTTCGTATTGAGTTTTGGTTCTTTTTGCAGAAACAAGCCAAGCTTCACCTTGACACACTCATAAGGTTTACTCGACTTGTCGCTGTCAGCTAATAACACCACATGGAACAAACTCTCGCAGCTCCTCAGACTCGCACCTATTTGCCATCAGCTTGAAAATAAAAGGCGTCTGGAATAAACGCCTATAATTAAGCATTCATTATTGTGATTAAGGTGAGGCCTGCTCGGGTTGGCATAAGCTCGGTGTTGGGAAATCCCCTTCTGCGCTGTTGCTTTAAACACACAAATTATCATATTTTTCATGTTTAACAAACATTTCTTACCGCTTCCACACAATAACGGGAACTTTTCCCTGTATTTTCAGCCCCTCTCATTGCGCACACATACACCCATCGGGGTTTGCTTGTACAAACGAAACGCGAGACTTACTTGGGGTTCTGCGAGCTCCAAATTATAGTCTCCAGCGATTTGGCTGTGGGCAGCGCCAACCTGCATATTAAAATAAACATCCAGAGGTAATACTTCCAACACCCGGGTCCCGCCATGCTGATAGATTGTCCAAAAGGAGAGGGAGGGAGAGAGCCGGTGAGTGTGGAGCCGAGGAGTCGGAGCGACAGGCAGGACGCCCCGGGTGGACCCTTATCTGCGCCTGGGCCGGTGGGGAGCAGAGCTCAGATCAGTCGGGAGCATGAGAGCTCGATAGCAGATACATGTCCTGATGCCCCGCTCACAGATCTGCTCCAGATCCAGCGTCCTTGGCTGATTCGGATGAAGGAGCCTGCTGTCCCTGCTCTGGATGCGGTGTCCTGTGTGACCTGTGGCTGAGGCACAAATCAGCCCCTCTTGGATTCTTTCTCTCCTTTTTTCAACTCAACGATGCGACCTGATGAACCAGATTGCAGAAGCTTTCGACGAGGCTCAGCACCGCGTCTTTTGTCACAGCTCCCTCCCGTTGGTGTCTGTACCTGTCGCCCGATTTAGCCTACAGATGACCACATTCATCCATCAGTCACAACTCCGCAGCACGCCAGGAATCTCGAGGTCTTCTTCATTCCAGCGTAATCTTTCACTCCTCCTCCTCCCTCTTCGCTATTCTTCCTCGCACAGGAATTGAGTTTCTATTGTAAATATCCCTCCGGGCTCTCAGCGTGCGCGTTGCACTCCTGCGGGGTCCACCTCGGGCATGCCAGCCAGCGTGCGTAAATTCCGTCCGGACACATCCAAAAATAAAGACATAAAAAAGGTGGAGGATTAGACCTCAAGGTTGGCTCTCAATCAGCTCAGCGACATGTCCGTCCCGGTGCGTGTGTGTATTTTGTTCTCCTGTTTAGGAACCGTCTAAAACAACCTGCGCACCCGGTGTGCAGTGTGCGCGCTCGCAACAAGCTCGAGCTCGACTGTAACCGGAGCCGAGGGGGAGCGCAGGCTGTGGGGGACGGCCCACAGCGCGCCGCGGCCAATCACAGCGCTCTGTCCGAACTTGGAAGCAGGAAGCGAAGGCATGTGTGTGGGGACGTGGGGGGGGGGGGCTGACCCGGTTGACCGCCACATCTCCCCCTCATCTCGGCCTCAGGCGTCGACCCAAAGTGAAAAGGGCTTTTGAGTTATTCGTCATACTGATAGTTGTGTGTGTGTGTGTGTGTGTGTGTGTGTGTGTGTGTGTGTGTGTGTGTGTGTGTGTGTGTGTGTGTGTGTGTGTGTGTGTGTGTGTGTGCGTGTGTGTGTGTGTGTGTGTGTGTGTGTGTGCGTGTGCTTACATGAGCAGAACTTTGCCCCTGTTCCACTGGATGACATGGCAGGTCCTGAAAATCATAAACTCATTATTGAGCTCATTAACTTCTCTGTTGTTTTTAGAATAATTTCAATTTTTGAGAACATTTCTGCTCCACTCATCTTTCCTCTTCTCTCCTCAGGATTACAGTTATCTTCTTTTCCCCTACTCTCTCAAGGGAATGATGATTAATGGCCTCTTTGGGTCTCTTTCTATTTGTCCTCCTTCGGGATAATGAACTGCATGAGAACTTCGTCTCCAGTGTCAGCGGACAATAGTCGGTCGGTAGCCTATAGTCATTCAGCCATTCATTCATTCAGGAAGAAATGCTTGACACATAATTGATCATGTCCATGTCTGTGCCCCCTTTGTGTGTGTTTGTGTGCGACTTGCCCCTTTATTTTTGGTTTTTAATTCAAGCAATGCTGCCCCCTACCGGCGGAGAGGGAATCACTTCTCAGACTTTCCCAGGGGGAATTTCTGAATCCTTTTTTTTTTTTTTTTTTTGGGAGAAAAACAACATTTTAAGACTGGGCCTTATGGTTCCTAAAATTATGCTTTTATTGCATCCTGTTGCGTGTTGACAGCCCATAAATCTTTGTGAAACAATGAGCTCAACACATGCTTTGGCTGTACACTGTAATTATGGGAGTATATTTATGTGCATGTTTTGTGTGTGTGTGTGTGTGTGTGTGTGTGTGTGTGTGTGTGTGTGTGTGTGTGTGTGTGTGTGTGTGTGTGTGTGTGTGTATATGTGTGTGTATGTGTGTGTGCGTGTGTGTGTGTGTGTGTGTGTGTGTGTGTGTGTGTGTGTGTGTGTGTGCTGGCTGCTACAGAGTTGTGGCAAGCGTACCTGCTGGAACAACCTTTTAAATGGCCTGTACATAGTGCCTCATAGGGTCATAGAAGCTCCCCAAGGCGCTTCACAACACAATCAGTCATTCATCCACGCACACACACACACACATTCACACTCTGTGACATAGAAAGTAATGTTGTTATACAGAAATTCAGTTGAAAGTGCACTGGAAGACCAAAACACATGAATGACTGCTGGGTTAAAACCAACCCAATATGGATTGTTTTGGCAACTATTGCAGTTGTTAGTTTGTAGGATAAAGCATCAACATGGCCACCAGCGATAACCTACCCTAGCAAACACACACACACACACACACACACACACACACACACACACACACACACACACACACACACACACACACACACACACACACACCTGCGATGGTGTTTCTGTGGCTCCTCAAACCAACAGGATGTTCAGCTGACACGCTGATTTGAAAAGAGATCAGTTTAAAACAAACAGGAAGTTAGTTCTATTGTATCTAAACTACTTCTCCTTTCTCTTATAGTGTGTCCCTTCAGGGGTTTCCTCAGCCAATCATCTGTCTCCATTTAGTCCTATCTGCATCCTCTACCTTCACGCCAACTAACTCATGTTCTCTTTCACCACATCCACAAATGTCCTTGTTCCTCTCAGCATCCTTCTGCTTTCGTGATCATGGAAAGCAGCTCAGGAGGTAGAGCGGGTTGTCCAGTAATTGGAAGGTTGCAGGTTTGATCTCAGCTCCAAACAGAGGAAGCTGCTGTTGTGTCCTTTGGCAAGACATTTAACCAACCTTTTCTGCTGGTGGTGGTCGGAGGGACCGGTGAGGCCAGTGTTCAGCAGGCTTCGCCTTTGTCAGTGCACCCCAGGGCAGCTGTGGCTACATCGTAGCTCATTACCACCAGCGTGTGAATGTGTGTGTGTGAATGGGTGGATGACGGATTGTGTTGTGAAGTGCCTTGGGGGGTTGTAGAACCCTAAGAAGGCGCTGTACAAATACAGGCACTTTACCATCATTGGCTCTCCTTTGGACATGTCCAAACCATCTCTGTCTGTTCTCTTTGACTTTATCTCCAAAACATCCAACATGAGTGGTCCCTCTGATGGACTCATTCCATCCTTGTCACTCTCAAAGAGAAGGTCTACAACCTCCAGTTCTGCTTCCTGTCTTTTCCTCATAGACATTGTCATCTCTGACATCATCTATCAGCAAAGTTAACAAAAAGAGGCTTAGAGCCGATCCCTGATGCACTCCCACCTCCACCTTCAACTCTTCTGTCACTCCTGCAGCACAGCTCACTGCTGTCTCACAGCTCACTGCTGTCTCACGTCTCACTGCTGTCTCACAGCTCACTGCTGTCTCACAGCTCACTGCTGTCTCACGTCTCACTGCTGTCTCACAGCTCACTGCTGTCTTACAGCTCACTGCTGTCTCACAGCTCACTGCTGTCTCACGTCTCACTGCTGTCTCACGTCTCACTGCTGTCTCACAGCTCACTGCTGTCTCACGTCTCACTGCTGTCTCACAGCTCACTACTGTCTCACAGCTCACTGCTGTCTCACAGCTCACTGCTGTCTTACGGCTCACTGCTGTCTCACGTCTCACTGCTGTCTCACAGCTCACTGCTGTCTCACAGCTCACTGCTGTCTCACGTCTCACTGCTGTCTCACGTCTCACTGCTGTCTCACAGCTCACTGCTGTCTCACGTCTCACTGCTGTCTCACAGCTCACTACTGTCTCACAGCTCACTGCTGTCTCACAGCTCACTGCTGTCTCACGTCTCACTGCTGTCTCACAGCTCACTGCTGTCTCACAGCTCACTGCTGTGTCACAGCTCACTGCTGTCTCACGTCTCACTGCTGTCTCACAGCTCACTGCTGTCTTACGGCTCACTGCTGTCTCACGTCTCACTGCTGTCTCACAGCTCACTACTGTCTCACAGCTCACTGCTGTCTCACAGCTCACTGCTGTCTCACGTCTCACTGCTGTCTCACAGCTCACTGCTGTCTCACGTCTCACTGCTGTCTCACAGCTCACTGCTGTCTCACAGCTCACTGCTGTCTCACAGCTCACTGCTGTCTCACAGCTCATTGCTGTCTCACAGCTCACTGCTGTCTCACAGCTCACTGCTGTCTCACGTCTCACTGCTGTCTCACAGCTCACTGCTGTCTCACAGCTCACTGCTGTCTCACGTCTCACTGCTGTCTCACGTCTCACTGCTGTCTCACGTCTCACTGCTGTCTCACAGCTCACTGCTGTCTCACGTCTCACTGCTGTCTCACAGCTCACTACTGTCTCACAGCTCACTGCTGTCTCACGTCTCACTGCTGTCTCACAGCTCACTGCTGTCTCACGTCTCACTGCTGTCTCACAGCTCACTGCTGTCTTACAGCTCACTGCTGTCTCACAGCTCACTGCTGTCTCACGTCTCACTGCTGTCTCACAGCTCACTGCTGTCTCACAGCTCACTGCTGTCTCACGTCTCACTGCTGTCTCACAGCTCACTGCTGTCTCACGTCTCACTGCTGTCTCACAGCTCACTGCTGTCTCACAGCTCACTGCTGTCTCACGTCTCACTGCTGTCTCACAGCTCTCATACATGTTCTGCAGGGGTGTTTCTCAATGCCAAGGAACCTTGCCTTGATGTCTTGGCCCCACCCCGGTTGCCTAGGAGATACGTCATCGGGAGCCGCCAAGACGTATTCCAATGTTCATGTTCTACCGAGGCGTGTGTTCTCCGTTTGTTAGCCGTTTAACTAGCTGAGCGAGGATACACAGGAGGTGTCTTGTAGCCTAGCCTTGGTCAAAAATTACCCAGAATACACCATAGTATTTTCATAAAGGACAGCGGATCAGAAGCCGGCAGCTACCTCGGGGACAATTTTCAAGTTTAAAAGTAAGTCAAATGTTTTTTTTAGATCCAAAGAAGTGATCTATGGTTGGTTAGTTGCTTAGTAGTTGCAGCTTTGGTGGCTAGCGGGTAGTAACTCACTTATATATTTAATTTAATAAACATATACACAATTTAAAAGTAAAAGGCTCGTTATGTATTTATAATGAAACTAATACATATAAAATATAACGTTATCTCCCGTGTCACGTGACACTGTGTGACCCGCCGTGGAAGCCGCAGTCACGTGATGCACGTCTGTTCCATTTAATCATTTTCTTTAACCAAGGAAAGACAGTGTCCTTGCAAGCAAGGCGCCTTGACATTGAGAAACACCCCCGGACTCTGACAAATCTCTCAACCACTCCAGACCTCCAGTCCTCACGCGCCACAGCTCCTCTCTATCTGCAAAGACATTGCAGCTCCCTTCTCCACCAGCATCCTTATTGCACACATATAATCTTTAGTACTTTTTCTCTGTCTTGGCATGAAACTGCTGCTCATACTCTGCACCAGGACACTTTTCCTCTGTTCCTCAGGCTAAATGTCACTCCTCAAGACCTTATTGAGCAAACAAGTCAAAACCGCCATTGCCACCTCCCCTAGATCTCCACAGATATGTCATGGACCAACTGCCTTTCCCATCTTCATCCTCTTCCAACTTTCTTCAACCCTGTCATGATTTGGTGCGGTTGGTGACAATCCAAATTCAGACGAACAGAAGGCAGCCAGGTACATAACTTAAACTCTTTAATAACTAAATCAGAGACAGAGGCTGATTGTGATTACAGACATCTGTGAGGGTTACCAGGGAAACGGAGGGAAAACACTAACACAACAGGGGTTGAAGGGACACAGATCATGACAGATCCATCCTTACTGATCTTGGTTACTTCTTGAT